CCCCCCCCGCCTGGGTCTCCTAGGCCCACCTTCAAGCCATCAGGCACCACAATGACATCAGCAGCCCCAGCCACAGAAAGGCCGGGGACAGCTGCGAAACCACAGAGTTCCAGCAACCCTATTTGGGAGATGGTGCTAGCTGTAGTAGAAACCCTTAATCATACCACTCCCTCTCTTACTGGCCCATGTTGGCTGTGCTACCCAGGATCCCCACCCTTTTATGAGGCTATCGGGATAAATAGTTCCTATACTCTCAACAACTCTCATCCCACCTATTGGGACAGGAGACCACGGGGACTTACTCTTGCGCAGGTCTTGGCCTCTGGCATGTGTGTAGGCACAGTTCCAACATCCCAAAGCCAGTTATGCTCCTCATGCAATAACACCCCATGGGAGCAGGGGAAGTGGATTATACCCACCTCGGGCTGGTGGCTCTGTTCAAAAACGGGCCTCACCCCAGCCCTGTCCACCTCTGTATTTAATGCTAATAATGAATTTTGTGTACTTGTGGCCATTCTGCCCCATCTTTCATACCACTCTCATGAATCCCTCCTCTCCTATTGGGAGGAAAAACAGAGTCCACTCCAAAAGAAGAGGGAGCCCTTTACTGCCTTAACCATCAGAACTCTCTTCTCTGTAGGGATAGCTGGAGCAGGGACAGGAATCGCAGCCCTAGTAACACGAGAGCAAGGGCTCACGGCACTAAGGCTAGCAATTGATAGGGACTTGGAACAGCTCCGGCAATCGATGTCAGACCTGGAGCAATCTCTCACTTCCTTATCAGAGGTGGTGCTACAAAACAGAAGGGGCTTGGATCTCCTATTCCTAAAAGAGGGCGGGCTATGTGCAGCTTTAAAAGAGGAATGCTGTTTCTATGTGGACAAGACAGGGGCAGTCAGGGAATCTTTGACCAAGTTAAAAAAGGACCTGGAGAGGAGGCGCAAGGAATATGAAAGTAATAAAAGCTGGTTCGAGTCTTGGTTTATGCATAAAACATGGTTTACAACTCTCCTCTCAGCTATCGCAGGACCTCTAATTTTTCTATTGCTACTAGTCACAATTGGTCCCTGCATAATAAATAGGCTACTAAGGTTTGTTCAGGAAAAGATCGATACTGTCCATCTCTTGGTTCTTTGCCAGAAATACCAAGCCTTAGATACTGCTGAGGAAGATTCCTCAGTCTGACCTAGAAAAAAAGGGGGGAAATGTTGGGGAAAGAGGAATTTACTGTTTGTTTGAATATACTGCTTGCCTGAATTTACTGCTTGAACTTACTTGTTTAAATTTACTGCTTGTAACCAATTAACTCAACTAGAGACACAGGCATCCGGAGATAGAGGCAAAGTGCTACAACCCCCGGAGCCTGACCTGTTCTGTGTCATGTCATGTCTGCTTACACAAGATAAAAAGAAAGAGTCATACCAGGCACATACCAATCATCTCTCCCCAATTGAGACACCTGAAGGGAGCTGTAACATTTGTCTTGGAAGGACGGTCGGCCCCAGCTAGCTGGTTTAATAAAACTCTGCTTGATTTTTGCATCTCCATACTCGTGCATTTGTTCTCCTGAAGAGACCCACCGAGTCACGGACCCTAACAGTATGTAAGTGCACCCATATTATACAAGGCTTGGGGAGGTCAGAAGAGGGTATCAGATCCCCTGGAACTGGAGTTTCAGATAGTTGTTAGTTGCACTGTGGGTGCTAGGAACCAAACCTGGGTCCTCTGCAAGAACAGGCAGTGCTCTTAACCAATAAGCCATCTCTCCAGTCTCAAGGAATGTATTTTTAAGAGCTAGGGATATAGCTCATTGGTAGGGTATTTGCCTAACATTCATGAGGCCCTGAGCTCCATCCCTAGCGCTATTAAAAAACAACCAACCAACCAACTATGGACCAGATGTGGTGGCCTTTAATTCCAACACTCAGAAGGCAGAGGCAGGCAGATCTCTGTGAGTTCAAGGCTAACCTGGTCTACATAGTGAGTTCCAGGTCAGCTAGGGCTACAAGGAGACCCTGCCTCAAAAAAGACCAAAAAAAAAAAAAAAACCAAAAAACCCAAAACAAAAAAACCCACTAAAAAAGAGAGACAGGTTCATTAAAGCAAATAATCAAAAGAAAAGCATTGTACCTGAGGCTATTCACCTGTTGGGGGTTTAGAAGCTGATTTCAATGTGCTTTAAAGAAGACATGCTGGCTGGGAGTGAAACTCATTTGTAAAATAAAAACAGAAGCATCTCTGAGCTGAGCTGAGTCTTTGATGGACTGCTTGGGGTCATGTAGAGAGGAGACAGGAAGAGGGCATGGGAGAAGTGAACACGCCATGGCAAGGATGGTTGGCCACCCACCCAGAGCCCTTGCTGTGCCTCACTGCAGGGGACCAGCAACCTCTGGCCAGGATTGTCCCCTGAAGGAGGCTGCCAGGGAGGTGGCTCAGGGAACCATGTGCCACCACTTGAAGGTAAAGGGCTTTCGGCGCACGTTGGTGCCGCAGTGAATCTCCCCGTGGTGGACGTGGTAGGCATAGAAATCATTGACGAAGGTGCAGTGCAGGCCCAGCGGCTCCAATAGGGAGCGCACCTTCTCCTCCAGACAGCAGTGGGCGCTGATGAGGGGTCCAAAGGGCTTGGGGATGCCCAGGTGTTTCCCCAGCACCAGCATGTTCACCTGCGGGGAAATGAGAGCCTGTGTCAGAAGTGGCAACAGGTAGGTAGGACTCACATATTAAGTCTGGTGAACTCAGTCTGTGCTTTGGGGGGGGGGTAAGATTTGTGTGTCTGTGAGCATACACATGAGGGTGTGTGTGCCCATGAGGCTAGAAGACGCGCTGGGCATCCCCTGTCATTCTCCGTCTAGTCATTTGAGGCAGGGTCTCTCCCTGAACCTGAGGCTCACGTCCTCTCGGCTACACTGGAAGCCAGCAAAACCCAGAGATCCTCCTGTCTCTGAGCCCCCTCCCCCCACTTCTGCTGCAGTTACAGGTGTGCACTTGACTCGTTGTGTGAGTGCTGAGGGGGATCTGAATTTCCATTTCTATAATTGTATAGGAAGCACTCTTAACCACCAGTCCTGGTGGTGCCCCATGTGGACTCCCTTCCTGGCAATGAGTGCCTCCCTAGAGCACCTTGTCTGTGGCTTGCACCTATCCCTGACTCCTCAATGGAAGCTGGGAGGTGGCACTGGGCATGGTAGTCACAGCTGGTTCTGCATCCAGACCCTGGCTTTGTAGTCTATTTCCTATCCACCATGGTTTTGTTTTGTTTTGTTTTGTTTTGTTTTGACAGGGTCTCCCTATAGCCCAGCTGACCTGGAACTCACTATGTAGACCAGGCTGCTCTTGAACTCACAGAGATCCGCCTGCCTCTGCCTCCTGAGTGCTGCAATTAAAGGTGTGAACCACCACGCCCAACTCCACTATGTTTTTTAAAAAACATCTTTTGTAGCCGGGCATGGTGGCACAGGCCTTTAATCCCATGCCGTGCCGTGTCCTCAGAGGTCAGAAGAGGGCATCGTCGTTTCAAGCATTTGTTAGCTGCCATGTGGGTGCTGGGCTTTGAAACCCGGTCTACTGCAAGAGCAGCCAGTGCTCTTAACCTCAGAGCCATCTCTCCAGCCCCACCATGTGCTTTTTTAAAGATTTATTTTTATTCTTATTTTATATGTATACATGTTTTGCCTGCGTGTTTATATGTGTGCCACATGCGTGCAATGCTTGTGGAGGCCAGAAGAGGGCATTGGATCCCCTGGAACTGGAGTAACAGATGTTGTGAGCCACCATGTGGCTCTGTAAGAGCAGCCAGTACTCTTAACTTCAGAGTTATCTCTCCAACCCCTCTGTATGGTTTTGTACTAGAGACTTCACCTCTCTGAGTTGCTTCTAGAAAGTGAGGCTACAAGGCAGCCTATTCCCTCTGAAGTACAGAAAGGGCTGGAGGGCCATGTGAGCCTAAGGGGTGCAGAGAAGATCCTCCTGGCAGGCCCTGGGGCCCAGCTGCCTCTTTAGGCCCCTCCCACCTGCCCTCTGGTGTTTAAGGTGGTTCCCTTTGGGTGGGGGAGGAGAGGCAGTGACTGTCACCTCCTCACCATGTTTGGGAAGAAGGCTTCAGCCTTGAGGTTCCTTCTGGAGTTCCCCATGAGCCTGAAGAGCTGTGGGATGTCGATGATGTCACCCTCGGTCAGGCCCAGCTCCCGCTTCAGCAGCTCTCGGTTCCAGTCAATGCAGCTCTGGGGGAGGCCGAGGGATAGTGGGTTAGGGAAGGAGGGCAGAGGCAGGGAGGCCAGCTCCCAGGGACCTCATGGGCCTCCCCTCTGGCTCTCTGTCTGTCCCTGGGCTTCAGACCCTGGGTTAGTCATCAGTGTGCAATGAGCAGCCCCAGGAGTACCCCCACTCCTCTGCCCCCAACCTCATGCCTGTAATCACTGGCAGGTGGCAGTGTCTGTAGGACATTTAGGCTAAGTACCTCCACGTAGGAGTTCTGCTCTCTCAGTTTCTTGTTTGAAAGAATGTCATTGATTGTCTGCTGTTTCTTTCCTGCCAGGGAGAAAAAGCAAAAAGTGCACCTGAATTGGGAGGTGGACCACCCTCCACTGAGGTACAGCCTGGGACCTGAGTTGCTATCTGTTCAATGGGTGTGTTCACATTCAAGAGGCACTTGCACTCCCAAAATGCTCTCATCTCCAAAGAGATCCTGTTAGCTTGCTTATTTGTTTTTGGGACAGGGTCTCATGTAGACCAGGCTGGCCTCAAACTTGCTATGTAGCAGAGGATGACCTAGAATTCCTGGTCCTCAAGAGTGTTGGGATATAGGTATGCACCACCACACCTGGTTTATGGTTGCTGGGGACAGAACCCAGGGCCTTGTGCATGCTGGGTAAGCACTCTATCAATCAAACTGCACCCCAGCCTCAAATCCTGTTTAGAAAGGAGGAAGCAACGGTACACATAGCTCAGAGACACAGCATTTGCCTAGCATGCATGGGACCCTGAACTCGATTGCCAGCACCCAAGAGAAAGTAGGTAGAAGAGAGAGAGGGGTGAGGAGGGAAGAAAAGAAATGAAGAAAAAGAGCCAGTGAGATGGCTCACTGGGTGAAGGTGCCTGCTGCCAAGACTTATGACCCAAGTTCAATCCCCGGAACCCACATGATGTAAGGAGAGAACCAACTCCAGCAAACTGTCCCCTGACCTCTACGTGTGTGCTGTAGTGCATGCACACACATAAAGAAATTAACAATTGTAATATTTTTTTTTAATTAATGGGGGCTGGAGAGATGGCTCAGCAGTTAAGAGCACTGGCTGCTCTTACAGAGGATCTGGGTTTGGCTCCCAGCACCCACATGGTGGCTAACAACCATCTGTAACTCCAGTTCCAAGAGATCTGATACCCTCTCTGTCCTCCAAGGCATTGCACAACATGGGTGTACTTACATACATGTAAGCAAACCACACACACACACACACACACACACACACATACACACACACACACACACACAAATTTAAATTAAAATTAAGGGAGGGAAGGAAGAAGGAATTATTTCGACTCTACTGTCTTGGCCCCTGCTGTCTGAGCCTTAGCCTTCTCAGTTCCCTGTCTGCAGTCATCCCTTCCAGTCACCTCACTGCCCCTTCCACCCCACCAACCCCTGCTCATCCCTTGGGTTCCTGCTCATCCCCTGCCTTCCGAGAAGCCTTCTCTGAGCCCCACTCAGACACCCCGAAGCCCTGTGCTGTCTTAGTGGCTCCTGGGAGCTGGGCTGCCCAGCATTGGGCGCAGTGCTTGCCACACAGTGAGCGTGCAGGTCTCTCTTCCCATGGAGCAGAGTAGATCTTAGACAGCGTTGGTCAGATAGGACTCCAGTCACTGCAACTTACTCTTGAGTCCTTCAAACAGCAGCGCCTCCCCGTGGCCCTGGCTCTGCTGCTCCTGGAACAGCTGGTAGCAAGCCCTAGGGCTGGCCAGCAGCAGCCGGAAACCCTGCTGGGAAATGCTGGGGTCACAGGACTGAATTGTCCTGGGGGTTCCCAGGAGGGGGGCTGGTACCCTCCATCACCTTCCTGTCCCCATGCAGAGGGAGAGCTGGCCTGGGAACCCGAGTGGGAGGGCCACACACCTTCCTGTCGGGTGCTGGGACGAAGCTCAAGAACTCATCCACATGACCCACATAGAGCCAGTCGGAGAAGAGCTTCACAGGGGACTGCACCTGCTGGGCGCCCAGGAAGTCCTGCAGGGCCTGGTTCATGTCCCGGCTCTCGCTGCTGCCCTCGAATGGAGAGACAGTGTAATAATAGCCATTATTAGCGTTAGAAGATGCTGTGTCGATGCGAGACCCTGAGATGGGCTGGTTGACCTGCTCTCATAGAAGGAGGGTATGGAGGGTCACGAGACCCTCACCTGGGATTCCACCAGCCCCTTCCTGCATCTCCTTCCCAGCAATTTCTGTCCCTCATTGCACGTGCTGGAGTTCATGGGGCTGGAGAAATGGCTTAGCAGTTAGGAGCACTGGCTGCTCTTGCAAAGAACCAGGGTTCAGTTTCCAGCACCCACATGGTGGCTTACAACCATCCTAACCCTCATTTCAGGAGATCCAACACCCTCTTGCATTGCACGACAGGGGTGCACTCACATACATGCAGGCAATACACTTATACGCATAAAATAAAAATATAAATAAAATGTTAAAAAATGAAGTGCTTGAGTTCAGCATGTGAAAGTTTAACTGAAGGGGTACTCTATAGATGTAGCTATGGGGAGTTATCGTCCATGCTGGGGTGAGGCTTTGGGGTCACCCACCTCACAAGTAGCCCCTCACCCATGCTATATAAGGAAGCCCAATCAACCCACTGGTCCCCCAAATCAGGCCTTGGAGGGATGGCGACTTTGGTCTGTGGTTGGGACCCTATCTGGGGTGAATACATGTTTATTTCTGTTACCCTAGGAAATATTCACGTAATGAGGGTGGCTGTGGAGAGGTGTCTGAGGATGGTAGAGGACTCAGGGCTTGTCCCAACTAGGGAGGGGACCCTGGAGCCTGGGCTGCCTTTATTGTAGCCCTTAATATTTTAGCAACTTAAGACACATCCCAGCTTCCTTGGGGGAAACTGAGGCACGGTCATTGAAGTACAGGACCAGAGCCAAAAGCACTGCCTATCGAATCAGCCTGGATGTTCATGTGATAGAGGATCATGGGCTTTGGAACCAGTCCCTCTGGATGGTGATCCCTTCCTTGCCAGCGTGGCCTTGGGACCGTTCCTTCAGTACTCTGAGCTCTGTGTTCTCCGTAAGGCCTTCCTACAGCTCCTTGGTCCTTCCTTCACTCTATTTGTCCCTACCACGCTGGCCTTCATTCCTGCCCCTGGACCTTTGCACATACATGTTCTTTCCTATACCAGGACACTGTGTCCCAGAACTCCACGTGACTCCAAGAGTCCCTTTCCCTTCCTAACACAGGCCACCTTTTCCTTTATCATTCAAGCTTATGCAATTTGTTTCCTCTTCCGTTATCCATGTCCCCAGCTAGCATACTGGTAGGGACTTGTCTGTCACATTTGCAGCCCTGCCCTGGCTCCTGGTACATCAGAGATGCTCAGTAAATATTCATTGACTGAAGGAATGTAGGTGGGCAGAGATGGAACTTGAACTTGGGCCCACTGGGCTCTAGAACTTGTGTTCCTCACCCTGTACATAAATTCCTCCCACTTGGGCAATGCTTCTGACTTCTTGGGGTTGGAGCAGGTAGGGGAGACCTCACTGTGGCTTTTGTGACCCCTTCCTGCAGCACCCTGAGTCCTGGCCACACCTCATGTCCCTCCCCTCCTTACCTGGAGTAACCACTGTTCCCAATAAGAATCCTGCCCAGTGGGTATTCCTTTTCTCCGACAGCGACTGGGGGGCTCACCTCCAGGTTCCCAAAGGCATCCAGTCCAGTGACCTCCACTGTGTGGGGCCCTCTGGTTACATAACCAAAATTTGGACCCTGAGGTGGGAGAAACATGCACTGTTAGAGGCAGTTGTCTCTGGGTGGAGACAGTGACTGCAAGTTGATAGATGAATTTGGTCACAGGAAGGAACTCTGGCTGCCAGAGCAGGTCCCCTAATGACTGGTGGAGTGTGGAAGGGATGTTGGATTGAGTCAGGGGGCAATGAAGGAAGAGATGTGGGTTTGTTGGTCCTAGTGAGTGTCACCTGTTTGGAAAACCACGTGCAGAGTAACGGAGTCTGCAAAACATATTTGCAGACAGAGGAGCCAATCTTGGAGTGGCCATAGGGACTTCCTCCAGCCAGTCTGAAGAACGATGGGAGTGCCTGCTGTCCCTGTGGCCAGCATTCTTGGTCCACACTGCACCCCCATTCTGGCCGCTGAGATGGAATAGGACTTACTAAATGTCTGTGACGTCTCCACCTGAGTCCTCACTAGAGGACTGAGGGACACATCTGTCACCCCTTGCATGAGCGTTGTGGTTGCTGTGGCAAATGGCCACCAGGTTAGTGCCCTAAAATTCACAGATTTATCCTCCTGCAGCTCTGGAGGGCACAAGTCTCAAATGAGTGTCATGGGCTGGAGTCAAAATGTGGCCGATGCCCCTCACTGAGGCTCCAGGGGAGAAGTTTCAAGAGGAAGGTGTTTTGCACTGGACCGCTGCCAGGCTGTGGCTGAATCCTTCCCTCACCCTCCAAGCAGGAGCCTCCAATCCTGTCTCCAGCACTCCACACCTGCCGCTCAAACCTCCCTCCTCTTCCTCGTAAGAAATGTCCATTGCACGACATGGGTACACTTACATACATGCAGGTGATACACTCATACACATAAAATTAAAATAATAAAAAAATATTTTTCAGAATCGGGGACTGGAGAGATGGCTCAGCAGTTAAGAGCACTGGCTGCTCTTGCAGAGGACCTGGGTTTGATTCCCAGCACCCACATGTGGCTAGCAACCATCCATAACTCCAGTTCCAGGGGATCCAACACCTTTCTCTGACTTCCATGAGCACTGCATGACATGGGTGCACTTACACACATGCAGGTAATGCACTCATACACATAAAATAAAAATAATAAAATATATATAAAAAAAGAAGTGTCAAGCTTACAAAGGACCTCTGGATAACAGGTGGACCCCAGCTTAACACACTCACCCAGCCTTCCCGCCACACAATGGAGTCTCGGTTCCATGGCCCACAGCCAGCACGCACTTGAGAGGTCACCGTCGGGCCCGCTCCACTCTGACTTCCCATCACCCATTTGCAGTGGCTTTTTGCCACCTCCTCCTTGTGATCCTCCTCAGCCTTCTGAGAGGACAACGGGGCAGGCTCCATCCCTGTGGCCTCCATTTTCTGGTTTCAGCAGCTCGCCGACCTCCCATGGAATCCCACTGCCCACATCACACCTCCTGACACCACTGCTGCTGTCCCCAACATTAGACATTAAACAGGGGTCAGTGGCTGCCGGGTTCCACACTTGCCTTGTCTAGGGAGCTGCTGATCCCTCCTTCCGCCAGCCTGCCCTCTTCCCACAGTCCTCTCCTCAGGTGACAGCCTAGAGGCTACCTTTACCTTGTTTCTCTCACGGTGGCCAGAAAACCCTGCTGGCCTTACCCTGTAGAGCTACCAGGAGTCCAAACACTCCCCACAGGACTGGTACCTGCCTGTCCCCCCACAACCCCACCAATCTTGGCTCCCTCTTACTTTGCCCTGCACAATCTATTTTCTTTATAATGTAAGCCAAGGCACAACCCTCCTTGATTTAAGACTTGCAAAGATTTTCAATTTCTCAGATTCTTTTTCTTTTTAAAATATTTTATTATTTTTATTATCTGTGTATGAGTGTATTGCCTGCATGTGTGTAAGTGCATGTAAGTCATGCAATACCTGCAGAGGTCAGAAGAGGGTGCTGGATCCCCTGGAACTGGACTTACAGACAGTTAGCCATCATGTGAGTGCTGAGAAATGAACTTGTGTCCTCTGCAGGAGCTGCCAGTGCTCTTAACCGCTGAGCCACCTCTCCAGCCCTAACTTCTTAGAGTGTAAATGGATGGAGCCCACAGAGACCAAGTATTTCTGTTGCCCCTGGCGCTGAGCTTGTTTTAACAGCAGTATTTTCTTTTACTTCTATTTCTTTTGTCACCTTTTTTTTTGGTCTTTTTGAGACAAGGTCTCCCTGTAGCTCCAGCTGTCCTGGAACTCACTATGTAGACCAGGCTGGCCTCGAACTCACAGAGATCTGCCTGGCTCTGCCTCCCTAGTGCTGGGATTAAAGCATGTGCCACCACACCTGGCGTTAGATAGATATACTTTTAATGAGCAACTGAAATTTTCTTCAGGTTCAACTACTTCAGTACCTTTAATACTAACTATCCCTGAGAAAACACACACACACACACTAAATTAATTGTTAAAAATTTCCCTGATACATACATTGAATTAGACTTTGAGGTTTACTCTAATTTGATGAATGAGCATCTATATTTCTAGTGCTGGGATTAAAGTGTGAGCTACCACACTCAGCCATGTTTTTAATTTATTATTATTATTATTATTGAGACAGGGTCTCCCTGTATCCCAAGCTGGCTTGGAACTTGCTATGTAGACCAGGCAGTCCTCAAACTCAGAGAGATCCACCTACTTCTGCCTCCCAAGTGCTGAGCTTGCTGCCGTGCCATCCTTCAATTCTTTTTAAGCTAATGGCTGTCATCTGTTTATGCCAAGTATCACGGGTTTCCCCCTCAAGGTGTGATGTGAAATTTACTAACATTATCTTACAGAAAGGACAGCACTTGGCCAGGTCACACAGATGCACAATTAACAGCACTATAGTCCCATGCCCTGGGCAGGCAGATGACCAGAACTAAATGAGCCAGTCAGCGACTTATACCAAAGTACACTGGAAGAAATGAACAGCAGCTGATGTCCAGCATGCAAGGGCTGGGTGGGTCTCCTTCAGTACCAGGGGAGGTCCTGTTAGGTAGGGCCCTGAGGCTGAGACCTGTCAGGGGTAGGGAACAGCATTCTCGGCAGAGGGAATGGCATATGCTAAGGCTCTGAGGTCAGGGAGAGATGGAAAAGTTTGGAGGACAGGAAGAAACCCAGTTTGGGCTAGAGCCAGGTAAGGGACAGAGAAAGTGGTCCCTGAGGATTCTGGAGACAAGGCTGTCGATAGTTTCCCTGTGGCTCTCATTCTTTTCGCTGAATGTTCGGGTCAGTGTGTTGTGTGTGTAGCCAAGGACCTGTTGCAGCCTTCCTCTACCCAAGGCCAGCTGAGGAGACTCCCAGGCCGAGGGTCTGTCTGTCCTCCAAGGCTCTGGAGGCTTGGCTTGTAGCATCAGAGAATCTGGCCTTTGGAATCTCACAGTCACTGAACAGGAAGCCCCGAAGCCAGCGATGGGGTTGGGGTGAAGTCATGGATCAGTCGTCTGATGTCCCCACCCTCAAATGGGATGAACTTGCCTCCACCATGAAGCCCACAGGAAGAACCCAGCTACATCTCTGCCCATCAGCATAGGGTGTGGCCATGAGGAAGTAAGATCTGCTGATGAAATTGAGGTTTCTTTCCAGGCCTCAAGTGTGGGCAGGGCTGCTGCCTCTTCCCCTGGACAACAGAATGCCCCCCAGAAAACCACTCAGGGCTGCAAACCTTGTCTCTCATACCCTCCCTCCTCTGTCTGTGGGTGCCAGGCCCCAGGGCAGGCTGGGGTCTTCCAAGGAAGGCAGGAAGGCAGGGTGGGAGACCTGATGTCTTTGCTCTGGGCCTCAGTTTCTGCATCTGTGAAATGGGCCTGTTGATAACATCTCTTTAAAAAGGTTGTCAAATTAAATGAGTCAGCACCCAAAGAGAAGTCAGCAGAGTGAACAGAGCATGTGGGCTCTGTAAACACACCATTATTATTTATGATGATGATGACCAGGGCTGAGTTTGCCAGGCCAGTCAAGCTGACGCACAAATATGTCACTTCCTACCCCCACGTGTAGAGACTGCAGCTGATAAAAATCGCTCTGGGAAATGGCTACTGATCCTGAAGTCGCCCCCTCTCCCATGCCCCAATGAAGCTTCCAAAGGTCAAACAGCAGCCAGAAGATGGAGCCCCCCACTTTATGGTGAGAGCCCTCTTGGGTAGCCCAGGATGCTCAACAGGCCTCACAGGGTGAGCTCATGCATGGTGGGGCTCTGGGAAACTAAGAGCCAGATCTTATCAGAGGATTAATTAAAACAACCAGTTCTGCCCACGTGGTCCTGCTGGAGCAGGAATTCAGCTTGGGGGACCAGGCTGGCCTGTGGGGAAGATGGGTTGAAGAAAGGTACTTCAAGGCCAGGGCAGCGTCCAGCCCTCGTGGGTTCTTACCATGACTCGCTTGACGGGGAAGTCCTTCAGGCCTCTGTCCCTTGGGGAGTCAAAGACCACGGGCAGCGTCTTGTGGGGAGCCTGGATGTACCCAATCTCCATTTCATCCTGTGGGAGTGTGGAGAGTTGCTGATGCAGTGTGGACCCACCCCACCCTCCCTCCTATGCCTTCGAGGGCAAATTCTGTGGGACAGGAGTCCAGAGAAGGGCTCTGAGGAGGCAGACCTGGGTCCCACACAGCCTTCTGGGAAACTACACATGGCCTTGACCTTGTGGGGACCAACCTTGTCCTTGAGGACAGTGAACATCCAGCGTTAGGGTGATGGGGGTGCAAGGGGACTCTGGGGGACCCAGAGGGTGCCCAGTGTGTCAGTCTTGGGCAGAGTTTGGTAGGAAGGCTCCTGAGTTGAACCAAGGTAAAGCAGGCAGTCAGAGCTCACAAGAGCCGGTAGACGCTGTCCAGCTTCGTGTGGTGCTACGTGGGGTCTGGGTGGCGGGGTGCATTGAGAAATGAATCTGGTGAGGATCCTGCCTGGTGGGATGGCTGTTCCTCCAGCAGGCAGGTGTGCCAGGGGACATAGCTACTATGACAAGTCACCAAATGGAAACCCCGGTGAAAGATGGTGGTTTACCTACAGCTTCCCACGGGTCAGCCAGCCTGCGTCATACGGGTGGATGGCAAAGACGGGACTTAGGGACGAATTCCCGCTGGATGGATGGCAAACATGGAGGGACAGCCTTCACACTGGCACTAAGCAAGCATGGTCGGGACACGGGATATGGGTGGTGAGAAGGAAGGTACCAGAGAGGAGACAGCATGGGTAAAAGCTCATGGTGAGAGCCAGGGGAGGCATGGAGCAGAGGCCCCAGGCCAAGCAGGGAGGAGACTCCATTCAGCTCAACAACTGTACAGTGAGCAGAGGGGACCTGGTCTCAGTCTCTGGGCCATTTCTGGTTTGTTTGTGGATTGGTACAGAAGCATAAAATGGTCCTGAGATGTAACTCACAGAGTTTAACCAACTGGTACCAAGTGAGAGAGGCAGACAGGTTGGGAGGCCCTAGAGGCTGAGTAGAAGATGGGAACCATAGATGGCTCTGGAGAAAGAGTGTGACTTGGGCTAGTGACTGAGCTCAGGAAGGTGGCTTCTACCTTGGTGACATGGGGGTGGGCACAGTGGCTCACTGTAAATGTCAGATGAACCATCAGCTTGGACACCCTGATGTGGGGATGCTCTGAGGCTCCCCCATCCCCATTCAACCCAGGAAGGGTGGCCCCAGTAGCTAGGCTGTGCCCCAGGAGCCCAGGCCTGCAGCTGACTGGCAGCTGGGCTGCATACCTGCATCCACTGATCATCGAAATTCTCCTCTTCGGGGCAGACCGTCAGCTTGCACTTAGCTTTCCTGGCCAGAGCAGTCACCGACTTTAGGAAGTCTTCATTTTCAACGATCCTATGAAGGTGAGAACATTGGTCCCTATAGCTCTGGATTCTGGAGCGCGTGTCTCAGTGGGGAGGTGACACAGTGACCCTGGGGACATCTGTGGGCTTCTGTCTGTCCTGACTTTGCTTTTTTAATTTAAATTTTTATTTTATGCATATGAGTGCATGTAGGTAAGTGCACCCGTGCTGTGCAATACCCGTAGAGGTCAGAAGAGGATGCTGGATCCTCTGGAACTGGATTTACAGATGGTTGTTAGCTGCCATGTGGGTGCTAGGATTCAAACCCAGGTCTTCTGTAAGAACAGTGTTCTTAACTACTAAGCCATCTCTTCAGCCCCTAGACAGCTTTCTTTACTTCTTAAAATTATTTCTCTCTCTCTCTCTCTCTCTCTCTCTCTCTCTCTCTCTCTCTCTCTCTCTCTCTGTGTGTGTGTGTGTGTTTTGTGTTA